TCATAATGCTTTTTTAATACAGGTTAAAACAACTTTTCATTTTTTCTGGTTAAAAAAGTCTGGGATGATAATTTCGTTTATTGTGTTTCATGGTTTATCAGTTGATTTACCCAGTAAATTCCAGTAAGATATTTTTGTCTTAGTGTTCAACTGCGTCTGTGCAAAAACAGTACTGTTCCTTAGCATGATAGATACAATCTCTTGTGGAAAAAGCTTACTTTTATCAAGTTGCTGCTCTATTTCATTTGCTTCCAACACAGCAGTCCATGCATTAGATGGAAATCTAAGTGTACGGGTAGCTGTGGAATAGAGCTATCGCCTTCCTGTCCTGTCTCTAAGTTAAGGCTGGATTTGAAACCAAAATTTATCTCACAAGCATAATTATACATATCTGAAACAGACATGTTATTAAATGACAAGTTCTAGTTGCTTTTTTGGTTTTTTTTTTTTGGTTTTTTTTTTTTGTTGTTCCTTTATGAGAGCTGAACATAGATAATTCTCTTTAAATAATGTGCTGATTGTGATACAGCATTTAGCAGCCAAAGCCTGGGAGAGTTTTACCTAAAAATCCTTTAATTCAACCTCATTATTAAGCATGTGTGAAGAAAGAAGGTAAGTAAACATTGAAGGATTGTGCCTCTTAAACATACACTGCATCTTCACCAAGAAAATTGCAGCTCTCCTTTACTAGCAGGTAGCGTATGTCAAATCTTGTAGACAAGCCGTGTATCAAGTGCTCATTCTTTCTCTCTGTCATCCGTTTTAAAATAAAACATTGTTGCAAATTGATATTTTTTATTACAGGGTTTTGGAGTTCTTTTAGGTAATTAATCTCTTGAAAACATTAAATTCAACAATTCAGGGTTCTTCTAGCCCATGACCTGCAGAGACGCTGATTTTAATTTATGTTGGTATGTCACGAACTTCATGTACTTTCACTTCTGAACTCTTGATAGCAGTATCTTTGTGTTAAATTTCTTTCACTGAGTTGTGAAATCTCATCAAACTGGAATTTCTTTTATGAAAGCCATCACTAAATGTTGGACTTTTACTATTATTTTTCAGTAGAATCCAAGTATGTAGAAGAAGGAAAAGAGTATAAATTTGAAAGTTACCTCAAGAAATTGGAGGTGGAAAATTTAACGGAAGTTGTATTGCATAGGCCAAGAAGTATTCAGGGAACTTTTTAAAAACACCAATGCTGATTCTTTCATACATACTTTATAATGCTGTTCCTGTCATATTTTTCTCCTTCTGAGTTCTCTGAATACTAATTCTAGTCCTCACAATGCTTACAGTACAACTTCAGTTTCATAGGATATAAAAGTAGACCTTTTGCAGGTGTAGCATTATGTGTTATCTGAGATAATCATTTATAATAACAAAGATGTCATATTACGTGGGCTAAAATCCAAGACTGCAAAGTCTCCTGTGATCATGCTGTATCTGTTTACCTTCCTCCCTATCTTCATCCTGTGTAATTCTTTAAGAGCCTGAAAGTAATTTTGAACACAACCTCCATAGAGAGTAAGGAGTGGAAATGTAAAAGAAATTGAATTCTTTCATGCATTTTGAGAAGTTTAATGAAACTAGGAAGCTGAGGAAAGTGGCTTTATGAAAATCCCCAGTGCTGCAGTTGACGTTCTAACCTTTTATCAAGCAAAATGGCTCTATGCTGGGGATGCCTTCAGATGGCAATCATGCACGTGGCAAGGGGGTTAGAACTAGATGACTGCTGAGATCCTTTCCAACCCAAGCCATTCTACTATTCTGTGGTGAGATGATATCTTAGCACTTACCTTGGTATCCAGTTCCGCAGCACCAGGTTTCATTTGTCCTTATTCTGACACAACTGCTTTCTTCTTGTTTCTGCTTCCTCTAGTTTGCTGATTCAGTTGGCAGAAGCAGTGAGGTTTTCAGCCTTCTTTTTTCAGTTTCATAGCATGTGGGAAAATGCTGGTTTTGTAACTTGAAATGCGTAAATGGTAGAAAGAAGACCGGGACCACAACATTTTCTGGAAGAGTATCTGTTAATGAAATCAGAAAATTGAAATTATAGTTCACAGAAGTATTCTCAAACTCAATTTGTTCCATAGAGAATGAAGAGAAGTGAATGGTAATACCTTAATGACTGATTCGGTGACTTGATTCGAGGCTGATGGGCACCGTGGCAGTCACTGGAAGAGGAGCTCTCAGGTGATGTCAGTGGAGTTCCATATTTATACTGTAATGTCTCAGGATAATGCCAGTGCATAACAGAATGGTGTTTGACATTTAAAAGAAGATGCAGACAGGAAAACTTGGAAGTGTTAATAAATGTGTGTTTGGTAACATTCTTTTTCTGTTCTGGGTGTTGCTAGTAATGCCATATTGAGCCCATAGAAAATGAGCCTTTAAAATTCTCCGCAAGTACATTTTGGTATGGCTTTATAGCTTGTTTCCTAGCTAAAATTAAGTTAAGCCTGAGAATTCCCTTGGTGTTTTCTGTTTTATGGAGTGTTTCATGAAGATGATAATCTCACAGAAGTGTAATCTGTGGAGTGCAAGTCCAGGGAGTGCAGTGCATGCAAGTCCAGGGATTTGTACTTGGAGTAGAGCTAGCCTTATAGACAAATAGCTTGTACCATCTCAGTCATGGACTACTCTCCTTATTCTATTCCTGATGCACTGATTTGCAGCTTCCAAAGTAATAAAACAATATTCTTCTATGGTGGTTTTGGTTGGTTGGTTTGGTTCTATTTTCTCTTCACCTGCACTAAGCAAAATCAACAGCTTGGCTAGAGTGATACCTATGATGACTTTGGACTGACACTAAACTAGTGACAAAATCCAAGTTGTACATATATTACTTAGATCTTGTACTTTTTCTGCAGGCACAAGCAAACAGTAACTGCAGAAAGTTTCACTTCAGACATTTTGTATTCTGATCTTGCCAGATGATATTTGTCGGTGAACAGGTCTTCACTGTTTCTTTTCACTTTTGCATTTTATATGCTTCATTACCCCATTGTTGAAATATTTGGTACTGAAACAGCTGCACCTCTGGGAAAGAGCAACTGGTAGATTTCTCATTTGCTTCAGTATTCTTGGGGTGCTTCAAGAAGGGAGCACTGCACAGGAAGAAATGTACATGTACTCATGAAGGCATTAGTATTAATATAGTACTATCAGTTGATTGTGGGGCACAGCACCATTTATGCGTGTCAGGCAGGCTTTCAGGCAGTGCTGACCCCTTCCATTCCTTGGGTGTTTGTTGTTAGGTTTTAAATTTATTATTATTTTTTTTTTTTAACGCAGTTTCTTGTTTCATAGTGGTTGTTCGTAGGAGTAGAATTACCATGTCAGCCATCCAGCATTTGGCATGAGACACCAAGCTTGATAGCCCTGAACTTTTTCAAATACGTCAGTCTTGCAGTGATACTTGATACAGTTATATTTAGTCTTGATAAAATATGGTTTAGAACCCTCTTTTGGCTTCTCAGGCAACTTACATGTACCCCCCATACAGCTGGCTGAAGTTGTGGAGGTGAGGGCTGGGATGAAGATGAATGGATGGAATTTGTTAAGATAATTCAGTGTAGGAATGAGTTGGCTCTTGTTTTACATACCTAGAAAGAGTTTATATGAAATGAGGTTTGTTTTCCTTTTACTTAAAGAGATAAAAAACGGAATCTTTTGCTGCTCTTAGTAGGGGCTTCCTCACCATCCAGCAACTGTATATAGTAGGAACTGGTTAAAAGCATTTGTACACTGTGTGCAAATGTAGAGATACAGCTACTCCAGTAATAACAGCTAAACCTACCTCTTCTGGCCACGATCTCTCTTTGCAGTACATAAAGCCCAAGAAGAGCAGCTTAGAACTGAAGGAAGCATATAGCTTTGGGGGTACTGTGGCTGTGTGGTGGTTCCCCAGTGCTGCTTTTCTTCAGAGTACTGCTCTACCAGAAAGCTTTCCTGATCGTCCTCCTACATCTAGACATAAAATGTGAGAGAAGTTACATTTAAAGCATGTAAATCTGTTGGGGTTTATTTGTTGTTGTTTGTTTGTTTGTTTTTTTGCAGAAAGCCTCAGTACAAATACTACAGTAAAAATGGTATCAGCAAAAGAAAGTTGTAACCCATCAGGTTAAAGCTGTGGCAGACAGTCCAGCAAAAATGCAAATCTTTCTCTTGCTGAGGTTGTAAGGTTGAAATACAAGTTTCCAAGTTGGCAAACTTTATAGTAAAGTATATCATCTCATATTCCATAGTGATATGAAAAATAACTTCTTTTCCATTGAAAAAGAATTCTGAGCCATATCTAGCTTGCAGATAGCTTTTTAAGCTGTTCATTATAGTTCAGCTCTTGCCCTCTGTTAACTTGACTCCACTTCAGTGACTTTTTGGTAATGCATTCACTTTGGTGTTGTTTCAGCACCAAAATAAATTAGGAGAGTCCATATACAAAGCCAAAATTAACCATACTAGAGGAAAAGCAAATGCACAAAACATATCAGAGCCTATGCATGAGCACATAGTGTTACCAGTTTGTACTTTCTTAATCCTTGTGCTCTGTTTTTTGTGCAGAAAAGAATTTTGTTCCACGCCCTACCTTCCTCCTACTTTCCAGCTAATATTAAAAGCAGAAACAGCTTTATAAAGAAATTATGTTGCTGAGGTCATTGCTCTTAGAAGGTGCTCAGTAGCACTTCATGAAGTATGGTAAATGAAGTTGTTTAAAATATTGTTGAATACAAATCGCATAAAATCCTCACCATTTTTTTGTTTGTTTGTTTTGTTTTGGGTTTTGGTTTGTGTGGGTTTTTTTTTTGGTTTTTTTTTTTTTTTTTGCATACCATTGTGTTTCTGCTCTAATTTCTCCAGATTTAAAGATTAAAATATCTCCTTTAGCTACACACCCAGTCCTGTGCTCATTGAGAGCCCTTTAGTTCTTCTGTTCTGCTTCCATACCATCATCTGTTCCACAGGTCTTCTAAGTGTTGGTGTTTTCTCTCACCCAGGTACTGCTATGTGGATATTTGTTAGCAATGACTGATGTGGAATCTACATATGCAGACTTTATTGCTTCAGGAAGAACAGGTAGAAGAAATGCACTACACGACATACTTGTGTCCTCTCCAGGTGGGAACTCTAGTGAACTGGCCTTAAAGCTATCAGAGCTGGATATAAATAAAGCAGGTGAGTGCTTTTTGGTCTTTTAACATATGAATTAAAATTTCATAAGAAAAAAAGTCCTTCAGAAACTTTTTTTTTTTCCTGAAACTAGGATAAGCAGATATTGCCTGCAGTAAAAACACAGATTTCATGAAAGGGAAGGATACTTGTTTGCAAATGAGAAAGAACTTTCTGCAGTGAATGCTTGCTAGTTGAAGATGAATTTTTTTTATAGTAAAGTATTTATTAAGGACCCAGCTTATTCATAGTATCCTTTAAAAGAAATCTCTTCAATCTGTAGCTGGAAGGAGAGACCATATGTCTGCTTAAAAGTTTGTAGAGGTTTAGTTTTGTTTTCAGATACCAGAGGACAGAGAAATAATGATGCATTGTTTCTTTCATTTGAATCTTTGTTTCCACATGAGTCATCTCTTCCCCTTTCTGATGGTGCTTTCTCCTTCTTTCAAGGTGATTAGCACTAATGCAGTCCTAAACCTTACTCCTGCTGCTAATGCTATCCAAAATTTTAGCTGGTTTTGCACCTTCAAGTGAGTGAAAGGAGAGTCAGTGTATACAGTGAAGGGCCTTACATTAAATAAAAACAGTAACATGGTTTATATTAATTTTTTTTGGTCACTTAGGTGGGAATTAGTGAATTGATCTTAGTAATACTCAGAAGGCCTTTTTGGGTTTCAGGAAAGGAGATTTATGCTTATTTTAGTAGCAGAAGGAAACAGACGCAGCAAAAAGCGAACTGTTGATAAGCAGCTCTCCTCTTTTGTGAAAATATTTTTCTCAGAGCTAGGCAAGTGCTCAGAGAGACAATTTCTTCACTGGACAATCAGATCTGGCATACAAAATTGCAGTGGTTGTAGTGCTCTTTATTGACTTTCACAAACTAACTTAATCCTGAGTCACTGCTTCTGCCATTGCCACCTTTGGGCATAACTGGCTTTTGGAAGCACGCACTTCTAATTGCACAGGGCTGTTAATTTTTTTCCGTCAAAAAAGAATTATACTACATGAGCATGTGTGTAGGGGTCTATTTATTTTAAAGTGGGGATATGCCTAAAATGTTGGACAGGTATTTGAAATGCATCGTGCCAGCCTTCCTTCCTGCTTTGTTTCTTCAGTCTCAAATTTACACTGATCTTGTCTGATCCGTCTATTTAGAAAATATACATGATTCCTACCTTTCAGTTAGCTGTTGGAGTGCTTCTAAGCTAGAACTATGTTCTTTTGTGAACTATAAAAAGAGCGTGACTTTGTACTTGTAATATACGTCAGTGTGCATTTTGCACATGCAGTTAACGCTGTAGCAGTGAAAATGGTTTAAATAACCATTCTCCTAAATGTTAATACATAATTCAGGGGTATACAGAGTTGCTTATAAAATTTCCTTAGGTGGTAGACATACAGAAATGGTAGCATACTTCTTTGGGCATGCAGTTTGAATTAGATACAATGAAAATATACTTATTATTAGTTCACTGTGGTGCTGGACAAAAACCTCCAAACCAAAAATACTGGAATATATACTGCATTATCATTCCTATGAGTATTACAGTGTTATCATATCCTGTCTTTCCAAACTGAAGAAAAGATAAAAAAAATATTTTGCATCCCCAGTTTCAGTGTAGAATATGCTGGTGCTCACAGGATGTAGATTTGCAGCATAAATAGAGGTTAAGAGAAATGCAAATGTTTAGGAGTTACATCTTATTTCTTTGAAGGTTATTTATTCTAAGTAATGCCTAGTTATACAAACACATACACCAAGTTTGTGCTTTTTTTCTTTTTTTTCTTATTACAAAACCATATGCATCTTGCAAAAATGCAAGTACAACTCCTTTTTACAGCATAGAGTAACAGCAAAGTAGGATGATGCTAATGAAGCAAAAAAAGAGTAAAATTATTATCAAATATATGTAAATTAAGCTATCCAAGCATACTTAGTACATTCATTTTGAAAAGCATGTAGACACACTTCTCGCAAAGAACAGGAGCAGCTTTGAACAGCAATAGATGGTGAAGCCTTCTTCCATGACAACAGATTTTCTCTCATGCCCGACTTGATACCTGAAGTGAGTGCTGGTTAATCCCCTCATTGATGAGCCAATTACACATAACCAAGAGTTGACTGCATAATCATGTGTAATATGTGTAGTGACTGTATAATAGTCCTTTCAAAACTACAGTTACAGTCTTTTTTGTCCATAGTAAGTTAACAACTTTCTAATATTCTTAGCTACCAAAACATATTCAGAGCATATCTAGCATATCAAAACGTATCTACCAAAACATATCTACCAAAGAATGTACTTCAGTGCAGGAATGAGAAGGAAGCTTCCTTGTGAGAGTTGCGTCCAACTATCTACAAAAATGAAGATAGTGCAGATGTAAAAGTAATCACAGAATCACAGAATTATAGGGGTTGGAAGGGACCTCCAGGGATCATCATGTCCAACCCCCTGCCAAAGCAGGTTCCCTCCACCAGGTCGCACAGGTAGGCATCCAGGCAGGTTATACAGCACTGGAATGGAGGACTGACTGTAGAAGTTTGTCATTAAAAATTATTTTGGATCATGATAGAAATGTTTAAGATGTAACCACTGTGACCACTAACAGAACCTGAAGAGCCTGTAGTATTCTAAGAGGAATAAGTTAAAAGCTGGATATTGGCAAAACTAATAGCTTTTGCTGGCTTAGCTACTGTATTATGGCTTCAAGGATCGTTTTTTATTGAATACTACCTAATTGAATCAAAACACTACGTAAAAATTGCAACTCTTTCTTTTAACAGCTTATAGCAATCATGTTGCAGAAGGAATAGCTCCAGAGTATGCTTAGACAAGTTTTGAATTTTCTCAGAACCTAGGCAAAAAATTATTTCCATAAATGTGTTGGAAGGCTTTTGGTAGGGGAAGTCTGTCAGCAGAGGAACAAGTTTGTAGTACCACAAAAGTGTATTATAGATTAAGCAGATGTAGGCTCATGAGTTTTTCAGTGAGTTTATGAGAGCTCACTTCTGAGCTTTTCTTCACTGAAGAAGTAGTATATTAGAACCTTAATGCTCATTCTCAGTATTCTTGTGCACTACATTTAATGTTTAGATAAAAAAATGTCTGGGGTGAATTTTCTCAGATTTGCAAATAAATACAAATATTTTTCTCATGAGTTTTGTCTTTTTTTAACAAAGAATCCTGTTGTTTTTTTTTAATTGTCAGTATGGATAGTGGCAAAAAGGGAAAAAAAAAGAAACAAAAATGAAATTACACTCGTCTGTTCTTACACAGTATCAGAACAAATGTTGAAAGCTTTGTAGAAAATGCTCACACAACTCAGGCAAAAGGGATTTCTGTAGAGTAGGAAGTAACAGCCTATAGATGAACTAGAATCCTTTGTGATGTGGGAAATAAACGTGAAAAATAAGGAGTGTTTTCTGAGAAGGTGGATTGCAAAGCAAATTCTTACTTTTAACTCAGTCTGTAGCAAACAGCAAACATTTTGAGGGTAATCAGCTTTCCATACAACTTTTCATCAGGTTGAATTTCATAATTATCAAAATTCTGAGGCATTTTTTCAGCAGAAATACAGTCCATGCACAAAACACAGCTATCAAACTGAGTACTTTGCAGTGTTCTTCACAGTGCAAAGATTTTTTTTTTTCCATTACTACTATGCTATTTCTCCTATGTAGAAAAGAGAAGGTATTTACAGTGTTTATCTCCATATACAGAAATAAGGCTACAGATGTACAGTGTGGTTTAAAATGAGGTAACAATAAATATCTGCCTTGAGAATTCTGCCTTTATTTTAATGACTTTAAATAGTGGGGTGATCTACAAAATAAGGTATAGACTTAAAACTAGTTCAACTTCTTTGCATCTTAGGCTTTAGAATTCTTCTCTTAATTACTGCCAGTCTAAAACAAATGATTCAGAATCCTTACAAGATACAAGGTATGTCCTATGTCCTAACATTATTTCTCTACATAATTACACCAGCATTCAGGGACTTGTTTCTTATTAGGACTTAGCTTTTAATCATCTGAACGTGTTAGGTCTTTAATCATTAGGCAGAAGATAGGAAGCAATATAATGCTTTGCATATAGGTGCTTAAAGACCATTATCAAGGCACCTCTTAGCTTTCTTTAGACAGGCTTTGAGGTGTCTGCTCACTGTGTCATTGTAAGATGCCTTCTATTCTTCAAATGGTTTTGTGGTTTGCAGTGAGACAGCTGGGCTGACAGCCTTGGGACATGGCACTGAAAATGAATGCAAAGAATGAATACAGCTTTAACAAACTACTGCATCTATTGAAGCTGCACCTCTTTTTATTAATCTCTGTTCAGAATTGGTGTGATGAGGTTTTTCTTATCTATTGTCATAGTATCAACAGTAAATTGTCAAAAAAGCACAATTATTTTTAACTTTTGTCATTTATAACTATTTCAGGTGTGTATTTGAAATGATAGTGGCTTATGCAGCAAGGAATTTGTTGCTGATGGTCCTTTGAGATGCAGTCTTGCTGTTTTAGCAATTAAAGGTGTTATATGTAATGCAAGATATGTGTTCCATTTCAGTTTCTTTTTACTTTGTTCTTGTGATTAGTGGAAGAAGAGTTAGGGTTCTACAAGCAAGACTTTTTTGGTCTAAGATAGATCACTCATTCTTTGTTGTATCTTACAGAAGGAGAAGGAGATGCACAACGAAATCCAAGTGAGCAAACCGGGGAGGCCCAAGGGGAGGCAGCAAAGCAAGAAAGCTGACATCTGACTTTGACCGACTGGAGCAGCTGCTGGATGTTTTCAGACTACAAGAGCATGCTGGAACAAATTTGTTTCCATGAGCAAGCTGGTGGAAAGGAAAGTGCATGTGTCTTCACTGCTGGAACCCACTCAACGCAATGCTAAAAATGAGGGTACAAGCTGTGGCAGAAGACAGAATTTTCTCTACCTCTGTCATTAGCAATGGTTGAACATGTAATGTTTTGTGGGATAGTGTCATCAGATGGATCCCTTCGTAATGACTACTTGATGGGAACACTTCTAGAAAGTAGAACAAACAGGTTAATCTTGTAGCAAATGGCCTTTGAAACATTAGAGGATCTAATTGTGTATCTTAAGCAAAGGCTTGTGTGATCCTCAGAGTTTAAAGTTCTCTGGCCAAAGTGTTCACCCATTAAAAGAACTGTAAAGAAAGCACTGTTTTTAGAACTTGCATCTGTTTTACAGCTCTGTTACTTACAATGGTTTTTGTATTGTACAACTTAGATGCTCTACACTGCCCCTTCTCAACTGCTTATGAAGAATATTTCTGTTACTGTGAATTTTTCTACCACGCGTTTTGAAAGGGCTGGTTTTTTGCATAATGTGGTGATGTGCACATGATAGTTTTAAAACGTCAACTGCTAAATTGGTTATGCCTAAACCTAAATGACTCAGAAACACTCTAATTTGTTACTAGATGAGCCTTCAAAACGATTCATTAATGTGAATACTTTGGCGTGTTTTGTGTCCTTGGTACATTTTTGCCACTTGCCTGTAGTTAGTTGCATATCAGAGACTCAAAGTGAATCTTTGATGTTGTTCTTTCCCATTTTCTAATTTTTCTCCCCATTTCTTAATCTTTCTCCAAGCTATTTTTTTAAAATGTTAGTCCAAGTATTTTATCGTTACGGTAGTTTTAAGAATACATTTATTACCTTTTATGGGTTAAAATTCAAACAAATTCCATGGTGCTAGAGATTTGTCTGGTTCACATTGTTAAAGATGGGTCTTGTTTACACATGGGAAAATAACTGGCATAGGTAATTGCCAATTATCTATCTAGAGTGATTTTCAGATTGCGGGATAGTCCAAGTAGTGGAGCATGAAGTGGATCCAACCAGGAGAAATATTTTATTTCATTTAGACCTTGGCTTTGCCTCAGTTGATCAGGCCATTGAGTTTACACAGCCAGTAGCATGTTTATGATGCACTGGGCACAGCCAAATGCTAAAAGCTGCTGCAGCAGCCTTTTGGCCCAACCTGTGGAAACAGAAGTGAGAGAGCTGTAATCTAGCACCCAAAATACTGGATTTTTTGCATTTCAGCTATTCCAAAATGGCAGTCCAAGCTGAACATTCATTGAAGTACTGGGATAGCTTTTCCATAACCTATTCTGCAGTAGCTGTGTTGATTGGCTTCCTTCCCACATCAGCCCCAGTAGACAAGGCCGTACATGAGGCCAAACAATGCAGGATAGGGCAGTTACACCTCAGTGTGATTAAGGTAAGGACAATGACTGACTAGTAAACCATGGCAATCACATAAGCACTAATCACAAAGTGGAAAGATCTTTTCTTAATGGGAGGTGATGTCACTTTCTTTATATATATTATATATATTATATATATTTTTGTGTTGTTGTTGGTTTCAAATGTTACGCACTTTTTAATGTTTGTAAACTTTTACTAATGAATGGTGTGATTGCTTCCTGAATATATTAATCATCAGTTAACAAAACATATTTGTGGCCACAGCTGTTTGTTTCTGCCGTATGTATCATAGTGTTTGTCACATGAAATCTTTTTGTGACGTGTGTGAACAAAAAAAAAAAAAACAAAAAAAAAACAACAACAAAAAAAGAAAAAGAAAAAAAAACCCTAAACAAATCAAAAAAAAACCACCACCACTTCTGATCAGTATTATGAGCTCATTCATTAATGTTAATAAAAAAACAGCCAGCAGTATGCTTGTGGTTCATCAGTGTAATATAAACTCTCACCTTTTCTTATTTGAAAGTTGAATGCCTTGCTGTCTTATTAGCTGTCAAATGCTTTATCTTCTTGGTAACAGAAGTTGTCCATTTGCTTTGAAAATACTGTTACCTTGAAACTAATTATTTATTAATTTGTTTATCTTGATGTTCCTGAATTGGGTATTCAATTGAGCAAAGAAACTGGTTGCCCTTTTGTCATAAGTGACAAGTTAGCACCAATTTAGCACTAACTCCAGAAGGAAATAAGATTCTGGGGATTTATATAGTGTTACTTTATTGATGATCCATGAAACTCCATCGATAAATTGTCACGGGAAAACGTAATAATAGAATAAGTAATGCAGTATATTAAAGTGTTGGCTTTTTCCTTATTTTACTTCACTGCTTTTTTTTTAATTATTATTTCAGTGCATTTTCCTTCTTCCAAAGTCTTCTCTGTTATGGGACAAAATAATTTCAGCCATTCCTCTTTATTTTCTATCTCTTTCTTCCTTCTATTTCTCATTTTCCTTTGTTTCTAAAGCAAACATGGAGGCCTTCAATGCGTTCGGATACATCTTTCTTTGATGGAAAATGGCACAGAAAATTTTAGTAGAGTAAAAGGCTGTTTGTGTTCTTTATCCCCAAAAGTATAAGTGCTTACTTTTTTACTTGAACTCTGATGGCTCTCTTTACTCATTCTTGTTGTTGTTATTGCTTTTTTCCTGTGGCACCTGTAAGCATCCTGTGAACCTGTAAGTTTCATGTGAACCAGCTTAAATGTAAAGCAAATACAAACAGCAATATAAAAAGATTAATCACCCTGATAGCTATATACTTCAGCACCATGAGCTTCAAAAAGCTTTTATTGTAAGATACCAGCAAGCACAAACAATGATTTCATCAAGCTATCGTTTTAACCAAAAGTTTACCATGAAAACAATTGCTTAATTGTTTTCATAACTTTTGTCATGTTGGTGCCCCCGCCGCAGTGTTAGTGTGTGCGTGGGAAAAAGCGTAAGTTGGTATGAGTGGCAGGTCCTGGCGAGTTAGGTTTCATACGCATAGCTGATGGAATTTTCTGGTGTCTCAAAGAAGGAAGTGACAACTGAAGTGGTTAAGCTGGAAAGTCACTGCATGTATGGCTTCCTCAGCAAAACAGTGAAGATTTCCAGGTGTGCTTTATGTTTATATGCAATGTTTCAGAAACATCTGTGATGTTTTCACAAAGCAAAGACTGAGAGCTGCTGCTGAAACTGAGCACAGTAATACAAGTTGAACTTTGTCTAAGTTTGTCTTGCCTCAGCAGTAGTCTCATGCTAAACTGCTGTGTGTCTGTGCCCTGACCTGTGTCTTTGTTCTGTTTGTTGCATTTGGATATTTTTCTATTCTTTGCTTCCCTCAAGTAAAACAATATCCTAGAAGTCAATGGACACAGAGTACTGTATTGGATTTTCTGTATATTTAACTTAGAGTCTTGTAGTAGAGTGTTTCTCTTCATCTTCTTGATCAAAGCACAAAGTTCCTAACATAAGATAGAAGCAAAAGAGCCAAAAAGGAAATGTGAAGTCAAGAAGGCCAACAATATTAGGAGGATATTACTTCTTAAAAGTAAGGCATGTGAAGAAGCAGAAAATAGCTTCCTTCATCATAAGACAGGCAGTCAGTATGTGCTGATCTCCAGCTAAAAGGAAGAAATTACTCAACTTGGGGTGATACTTTGACATCAGAAACAACTCCAGATATTCAACAGTGCTCCAGAAGATTACATAAATCTGTAGCTCACACCACTGAGACGAATGAAAATCATCAGGTTCTAATGAAAGAGAATGAGATAATATATGGTGGCCTCTGAAAGGCAGAAACTATTAACAGCTAGGAAAATTGTAGAAATCAAGGTAGTAGCAGGAACCTTCTCACTGTTCTCTGCAGCCTCGTGGGCTGACCTTTCTTGCTTTCTTGTCGTGATTAAAAATACTATATGGAATGCCAGAGAATGCCTAAGAACAGGAGTGTTTAATGTGGATGTTTGGTGCATGTCATTTATGTTACATATTGTTAATATCTTGCAGAGAATAAATAATAATCAAATGCAGTGATCTGGTCAAATAGGTTAATAGGGTACTGAATCAATTCCTAAGTATATGGAACTAGACTAAGAAGTCTAGTTAACAAGAGTGAACTCTTAAAAGCAGAGAGTAAAGCTAAGCATAAATGCTTAATAAGTGCTGCAATTAAGCAGCATCTTGGGCTTCTGAAATTAGCAGAGCACCATGCTGTACCCTCTTACGCTGACACTTTCATTATGGGTTGGATCTGCTTAGTTTTTCAGATAGAGGCAGGAAAGATGTGTCAACTCACGACGTATATATACAAATGATCACTTGGTGTTTTCAGGCATTATGCTTGTAAGCTGATGTAAAGTAAAAAGACTGATACTGGTAATGTCTAGCTTACAAGTCCTTAAGTAAATGCACTGATGCAGACTGGCATCAGAATACATGCTCAATCCTATTGGCCATTAAGAAATTCTCCATGAGTGTTGTCTAACAGTTACTAGCCTGACACAGACCTGACCAAGGCAGAAACTTGAGTGCTCCCAAAATGTCTGAGGTGCAAATGAGTACAAAAATTCCCTCTACGTTCTTTAACTGGCAGGCAGATGATGACAGTATTTTGTATCTGTTAAATAATAAAACTATTGAATGCATGGTTAAACAGGTAATGCTTAATTCTACTTCTGTGAGAAAGAAAAAATTTCATCTTGAAAAATCAATCACAATTTGTTAGGAAAGAGGGGAAAAAAAAAGAAAAAAAGAGGAAATTAAAAAAAAAAAATCAGCTGTAATTTATAGGAAATAGTGGCATATAATCTGAGAGATGGAAGTGAGATATTGGCTGGGAGGTCAGATCTTGAGCAGCTCTGCAAACCGGTGTTGGGATTAAAGCTACTTGTCATTCCATCAGCACTAGTGTGACTTGAATAATGCAGGTTTGCAGGTAAGCTGATCTGTTCTACATCTGTGAAGCTGCATTAGCATGTAAATTAAATCTCATTCTGTTGACTAAACATGGACATTATAAACACAACCAGTAATGATTTTTAAGTATAAGCAGATAAATAGTGGCTTCCAAGGCAGCAAAGGGAAAGGCAGATTTTTGCTGTGTAGCATGGTGACGGGTCTGCTTCATTACTGATACAGTACCACTCATATGTCACTTTTTTTTGTTTACTAAGAACAGCATAGATGTAATTGTGCACACACTATGATGCTGATTTCTTTGCATCAGCAGAGCCATGCATCTGTCTCAGCAAAGTTCTGCTATCACTTGGAATGTCAAATGACAAGCATCAAATGAGAAGAGAGGAGATTAAGATTGGATAGAAGGAAAAAGTATTTTAGTATTTTACAGTGAGGATGGTGAGGCACTGAAACACGTTGCACAGAGAGGTGGTGGATGCCTCATCCCTGGAGACATCCAAGGTCTGGCTGGATGAGGCCCTGAGCACCTGATCTAGCTGTGAACGTCTCTGTTTACTGCGGAAGAGTTGGACTAGATAACCATTAGATGTCCCTCGCAACTCAAAAGGTTCTATGATTCTGTGATTAACTATATCTTGAGTCATGGGATGGGCGGTATCACTTGCTTTCATTGGAATTTTGCTAAATCTGCTACTTCAATAACTCACTTGCCTGTAAAGTAATTTCTGCTGTCTACATTATTGTCATGTTTGTCATTTAGCTCTCTATTGATTTAAGAACACAGAATGTGAAAGCTAACAGTTTAGAATTGTAGAATCATTGAGGTTGGAAAAGACCTCTAGATCATCTAGTCCAACTGTCACAGAATCATAGAATGGTCCAGATTGAAAAGGATCTCAACGATCATGAATCTCCAAACCCCCCACACATGCAGGGCCACCAACTTCCACATTTAATATTAGACCAGGCTGCCCAGGGCCCCATCCAACCTGGCCTTGAACACCTCCAGGGTGGTGCATCCACAACCTCTCTGGGCAGCCTGCTCCAGCACTTCACTCATAGTAAAGAACTTCCCCCTGACATCCAACCTAAATCTTCCCTCCCTCAGCTTAAAACCATTTCCCCTTGTTCTGCTTTATCTACCCTTACAGAGTCGACTCCCCTCCTGTTTGTAGGCTCCTTTAAGTACTGAAAGGCTGCAATGAGGCCCGCAGCCTTCTCTTCTCCAGGCTGAACAAGCCCAGCTCCCTCAGCCTGTCTTTGTAGGGGAGGTGCTCCAACCCTCTGATCATCTTTGTGAGTCTCTAGACCCTCTCCAATAGCTCTCTGTCTTTCTTGTAGTGGTTGCTCCAGACCTGGAGAACTGTCCACCTACCACCAATATTGACTACTAAACCACGTCCTAAAGTATCGCATCCTTACATTTCTTGAACACCTCTGGGGACAGTGACTCCATCACCTCCCTGGGCAGCCTGTTCCAGTGTATTACCACTCTTTTTGAAAAGGAAACCAATCTCCCCTCACGCAACTTAAGGCCATTACCTTTCATCCTATCACTTTTCCTTGGGAGAAGAGACCAACCCCCATCTCACAACCTTCATTCAGAATGTTGCAGAGAGTGATAAGATCTCCCCTGAGCCTCCCCTTCTCCAGACTGAACAGTCCCAGTTCCCTCATCCACTCCTCATAAGACGTGCTCCAGACCCCTCACCAGCTTCATTGTCCTATCTGCTGCATTAATAATTCTCTTTATCAATCAAACAGCACTAAGGCTGGGAACTACTCAAAAACTACCTGGAATTTCTATTTCTGGTGGGAATCCATTCCTGGATGAGCCATGATTAGTTTTGGTGGAAGGTGTCACTGTTACAGGCACATAGGAAAGACCTAGAATATAAATAAACTCAGGAAAGGAGGAGTTGGTGGGGAGCTGCAGGGGTTGCTGCTTTATTTGGGGAGCCATATATTCAGTGATATGTTAAGTCGTGGCTAGACCCTATTTTCAAAGTACCCTATCAAATAGATTTGAACCTCTGGCAACAGTGTGTCACCATGCATGGCTGATCATATTTTGTCAACTAATTGTTTTTTACCTAACTCATGCTCAGATGAAAATAGATTTACTATTCACTCTGATGTATGCTTGAGAATGCCTAAATGGTAATAAATGTCAGCATTGCTTTAGGTAAGTGTGCTGTATAAGAAGTCTTGTAGTTATTTGTAAAGTTCTACCAGTCATCATGGATCTCTCCATATTTTATCCCTATATTTACACTGAAAATACACAAGAAATGCTTCAGTTAAATATCACAGACCAAATGGGGAGTGGGGGGTGCAAGATAACAATATTGTGATATTTGGCTTTGCGTAGTATGCAGTCGTCTTTTTACTT